CAAAATATGATTAATTGAAGCTTAAAGGATTGTGCATGGAACTTTATAAAAATTTGTCTCATAAAAATTGTAGTTAACTAAGTCATCAATTGTTTTTCTGTCATTATTTTCTTAAGATGGGAATAGAGATCTAAACTGATGCATTTAATGTCCAAGCCATTGCTAAGAGATTTTCTGGAAAAAAATGTATAATAGTAGATTGATGGCTTACAGCTCCTATGTTACTAAAACATACAATTATCTGTTTCTGCTCAATGTTAACAAGTAGATAAAAAGATAATCTCTTGCAGTACACATTCCTTCTACCAGTGAGGTAGTCATCACTGCAGGGTTTTTTTTTAATTTTAAAAAATTAAAGTATCACTGCAGGTTTTTAAGAAGAGACTGGACAGCCACTTGTCTGGAATGATAGTCGCCTGTTTGAATAGGGGGTTGGACTAGAAGACCTCCAAGGTCCCTTTCAACTCTGTTACTTTGTTATTCAGGCACTGAATCCAACATATGGGGACACATTTATTCAAGGGGAGCCCACTAATTTCTGAGTAAATGGTTCTGCTGTTAAACTAAATATGATTTTACCCCATCATTCAATCAGAATTTGCCATCCTGTAATTTAAATCTCTTTCTACATACATTGCTTCTTTGATTCTTTGAGTTTGATTTTCTTATGGGTAATAACTTTTTTGGTATTTGAAGAATGCTATCATATCAATGCCTCCCCATATTGTTGTTGTTTTCTCTCTCTTTTAAAATAAATTTTATTAAGTTTTCAAAATTTAAAAACATAAAACTTTATACATTGTTATCAACATCAAGGCATCTTTTACATCTTCTTACATTTTTCAATATATGTAGTTACTTATTCCATTATCATTACATCTTACTCTTGCTATAAATCAATATTTTTTATCCTTACACATCAATCTTCTCTATGCATATTTACATATTTACATATTCCCTCATTCTTTTCCTAATTGCCATTTTATTTTCTTTTTATTTCTAAACCACTCATACCAGACATTCCAGGCCCTGTAGTATATTGAATCTTCTCTGTGTTTTAGTTTCATTGTTAGCCTGTCCATCTCTATACAATCTTTTTTTTTTTTAACTGTCAGATCAGTGGAAGAAGAAAAGGGGTGGGGAGGAGGCTGATAAAGAAATCCTTTTTTGATGTAACCTGAATATATTTAATCTTACGTCGAATTTGTATAACCCACACATGATACAATGGAGGGAAAAAAGCCAGATGGCCAGAACTATCACCTCAGAGGCACAGCCAGGAGATGAGAAACCATAAAAATTCCACAGTGAGATGTGTCCTGGGAATCTCTGGAAAAGTACGTTCTAAAAAGGGGGTGGGGGGAAATTAGGTATGCCCTGTGAAACTGTGAAAAAGATTGTTCCTTACAAAAGGGGTGGGGAGGAATTAACATACTGGCTTTTGTTTCACTAAATACACATGGAGATAAGGGGAGGGGTTCTAAACTCCCTTATGTATCCCTGTATGCCTGAGAGACCTCAGACGCTGCTTTGAACTCCTACATGAATTGTCTCATCTCAATAAAGGATTCCTTTTTGATCCCTTTTGATACGTTTTCAGAAGTTCATTCTAGTTGAGTGAATGGGAAAAGTTCTGTAGCCTGACAATAACCATACCTTCTGGTGGTACCTTTTTTTCTTTCCAGAGTTGTGCATATGAAATCCTTGCAGCTGTTAATATGTGTAGCATGATCTATCTATCTGTTTTATTGCATTTTGTGTTATTATACCTAATAAAAAAGTTTCTGGATTAAGTTCAGTTTTCTGATTTGTGATTTCTTCTAGCCATTGTCTAATTGTATTCCAGTATTTTTTCACTTCCTGGCATGTCCACCAGGTATGGAAATAAGTGCCCTTTTCTTTTCCACATTTCCAACAATTTGGGTTTGAATTAAACATTTTTGCTAATCTAGTTGGGGGTGAGGTGCCATCTATAAAACATTTTGTATTGATTTTCCCTGTATGCTGTAGACGTGATTAGTTTGTAATTTGATCTCCACATTCTCTCCCAATTTTCCAGGTCTATATTATGGCCAACATTTTTCGCCCATACCACCATTATTTCTTTGACCACCCCCTTTTCCATTTTGAAATCTAGTAGAAATTTATATATTCTTGAAATCATTTTCTTTTCCATTTCTTGTAGGATTTTATCTAATCGATGCTTTTCCATATAGAAACTAAATTGTTCTTTGTCCTTTTTATATCTCGCCTGGATTTGCATGTATGGCCACCAATCTATCTTTATATTTTGTTGCTGTAGTTCTTGTATTGTTTTTAATCTTCCTTGTGTATCTAATAAACCTTTATAATTTCTCTTGTCAGTCTGTGCTCCATTCAAAATCCAAGAAAGAAATACTTAAACTCCATAGATTAGGGGAAAGAAATCTTTTACTGAAAATTGACGTGGTAGCTTCAGGTAAAATTCTGAATCTAAGAAATTAGGCGCGCAGATCACATATACAAAGGGATGGAATTGTTCCCAACCCCCAAAGTTCAAAAGATTCTTCCAATTAGAAGTTCTGGATATGGTCCTGTGGGCATCTTCAGGTGGTGATGAGGCCTCTGTCCGTTGACCTTGACATATTTTGATAAAGATTTGCAGTTGCGCAGAGAAAGGAAGGCTAAGCAAGGAATAGAAACTTAAGAGCAGGAATTTATACTCCCCCCAACTCCTCATTTATACAACACAAGAATGTAACACCTCCAGCTCTCTTCCCAGACACAACCCCTCCCCCTTACTTATGGCAGCCGAAAGATGCAAAGCAATAGAAAAGATCTTGAAGGCTGACATCCTCTTTTTTCCCAGATCCATTGCATTTGGGTAGATTTGTGCTTCCATAGTTGACAACCAGTACGTTATTTTAGTATAATGATTCTTTTTAATCTTGTTCCATATCCTAATTAATGAATCTCTAATCATGTGTCTCTGAAAGTATGAGTGTTGCTTACATTTCCCATCCCACAGAAAACTATGCCACCCTCTCTGCAAATTGTGACCCTATATCGACAATACTCCTCTATTTTCCAGGTTGATCCAATCCTTAATCCATACCGTAGCAGCTGCCTGGTAATACGTTTCCCAGTCAGGGAATCCAAAGCCACCCCTTTCTCTTTTATCCTGCAGTAATTTCATTTTTATCCTGGCTTTTTTCCCATCCCAAACAAATTTGCTTATTATTTGATCTAGTTCTCTAAAAAAAGTTTATTGGTACAGTTTGAAAAAGCGATAGTATTTTTGGTAATGTAGACATGTTAATTGCTGGAATTTCCCCCGTTGTTGTTTTCTCAAAGCTAAATACTTCAATAATCTTTTCTTAGAGAAAGCATACCTACCCTTCCATCATTGTTTGTAGATGGAGTTCTAGTTTCCTGATCATATTAGTTATATTTTTGTGAACCTGATCAAGTTTCCTTGAATCCTTTTTAAAATATGGTTTCCAGAATTGAATACAATTCTTGGTGTTGGGGGATCAAGTGGAACTATTATTTCCTGTGACCTCGAAATTATATATGTTTTAAAATGTTCTTTTTTGCATCTACATCATTTTGCTGGTTCATATTCAGTTTCTTTGCCTCTAAAATATTCTATATAGGGGAACTCATCACTACTCCAGTTTACTTGACTATCTTAAACCATTTTATCAGATTTGTCATCCATCATTTTTAAGTAAAATAAATATCTAGCTGTTTTTGAAAAATTATCAAATTTGTTGAATGGGAATTGACAACAAATTAGAAGCTGACGGCTGGTTTCTTGAATATAGCAGCTCATGTCTATTTTTCACTTGGCAATTTGATCAAACTGAATAAAATCAAAGGTACACAGTGTGTTACAAATCATATTTATTAGAAAGTTACAATTTTCAACAATGCTACATCTCCAATACTTTCCCATTATTGTTACTAAGCTTCATTTTGAGAGCTATATTTCTTGTTAATATTGCTTTTTAAGTTTTCCCCCCACTCTAGTCTTCCTAATGTTACTTGTTTTTTTCCTAATCCCATCTAATTATTGGAAATTACTATTCCACATATGACCTGAAAATAGATGCAAAATCTGTGTTGCAATTGAATGAGTTGTCTTGCAGTTCCTTCCAATCACAGTTTTAACAATGTCCAATAAATCTTCAAGTGACTTTTGAAATAACTATACAAAAAATATCCACTGATGACAGGATTAGAAAGATTAAAGAAATGAGTCAAAACATTATTCAGTGGAATAGCTTGCCTTCAGATTTTGTGGGTGCTCCATCACTGAGGCTTTTAAAAAAAGACTGGAGAGCCATTTGTCTGAAATGGTATAGGGTCTCTGGCTAGAGCTGGGCTTTGGACTAGAAGACCTCCAATATCCTTTCCAACTTTGTTATTCTGATATTCTGATTTATTGGGGAAAATGACCCAAGCTACATATCTGTGTATGGTAAAACATATGAATCTTTAGGGTTATCTGTTCATTTGAAGGGGAAATTAGCACCAGATTTGTTTGTAAGTCTCTCGGGGTAAGCAACGCCACCATTAAAATCTTTCCTGCTTAGTAAAGACCTTATCCTTTAGAAATATTCTTGACCGAACAATAAAATATTGGGTGCTAGCATAAGACAACAATTGAGGAAGCATAAAGGCTGTGATGATAAGACAAGCACTCAAGCATGGATAATAAACAAATATACCACTTAACACATAGAGCCATGGCTCCAAAAGCCATGATCCAATGAGTTCTCTGATGTACTTACATGAAATTTAAATGATAAATGCAACCGGTCTATTCTTTGCTGATATTTGCTAGATGTCAGCAAAGAAACAGCAGGGCAAAATGTCACATGAAAGATCTGCCTCAGTAGATTCTTTTAGTAAGTGTATGTGTCACTCAAAACAGCAAGGTGCATAAAAAAAGAAGAATATAATAAAAGTTTCAAAAACCTAAACTAAAGATTTTTTCTCCTCTCATTTCATTTTAGTCCTTTGAAAGAGTTTTGGTTGAAAACAAGCTGCACGGTCTTTCACCAGCTCTTTCTGAAGCCATCCAGAGCATTTCACGCTGGGAATTGGTTCAAGCTGCCTTACCCCATGTCCTTCACTGCACAGCCACTCTGCTTTCTAACCGGAACAAGTTAGGTCAGTGCATATCTGAGATTTTAAAAACAACTGTGTGTTTAGACATTACAGTATATTATCAATTATTATTACAGCAGACTAAATAACAGTTCATATTAAAGTTCTGTGACTTGCATTTCAGTTCCATTAGAAAGGGGGAGGGAAGCAGGGAGGGAGGGAGAGTGTGCTTTTATGCACATTTGCTTTTACGCAAATTATGTCACAGTAAACTGTGAGGGCAAGATTAACTGCTGGTTGTAAAGGAAAGGGACTGCAATGATGAAAGGAGAAGAAAGGCGTCTTAAAGGGTTTGATCATGGAGAGCCTTCTCATAAGGAGTGGCTTGGTGGACCATGGAAGGTGATAGAAAGAAAGCTGGATTTTAAAACCTACATGATCACACTAAAAATATTGTCAACTGTAAAAGTCCTGAGGAAGTCAATAATTGCTTATATTCTTACAACAGAGATTAAAATATAACTAAAAGCATGTTTTCAATTGAAAAACACATGTCTTATCCATCCATCAATACAATGCAATGTAAAAAGAAGATAAAGTCCAAGAAACATTGTTTAGATAGATACCTTCTGAAATATTAACTTGTTTTTATCAGGGCATAGAAAAAAATGAGATGTCTATGTTTTAGCTTTATGAACAACCTGAAGTAGAACAGTTCATATATTACCCTGTCAGATAAAATGTAATAGCCAAGTATAGTGTCTTTTTAGATGATCGACATGGGCAACAAAAAAGGAGATTCATTTAGCTGACTGCTGGTTATGTACAGTAGCATGTGCTTGGTATTATGGTAAACAAGTTGAGCAGACCTTCTTTTTGGGCTGTGCCATCTAATCAGGGTACTCACAATCTTTTTTCATTTAGGACATCAGGACAAACTTGGTGTTGCTGAGACAAAACTCCTTCACACTCTACATTGGATGTTGCTAGAAGCACCTCAAGACTGCAGCCATGACCACTTTGGAGGATCAGGAGACAGAGGGTCAAGCTGGAGAGGAAGCAGCAGTGCCTTTATCCACCAGATTGAAAACCAAGGATCTCCAGGGCAATCAAGATGTAACAGTACCAATGAAGAAGAAGAAAACAGCAGAAGGAAGTTCTTTCAGAATTCAATGGCAACTGTTGAGCTTTTTGTGTTCCTGTTTGCTCCTCTGGTTCATAGGATTAGAGTAAGTGCCTAAAGTGGCTGTAAGGGCTATAAGGGAGATGGAATATCTGGCTATCATAAATAACAACTATTATTTGAAAATCTGTTGTCTTGGTGTTTGATGGATGTAGTACGTGGTATACAAAAAAATTTCTAGTATCATGTGTCCATCGATGTTGCACTCATTAGGGAATTTATTTATTGATTATTTGATTTTTATATGGAAGAGTGTGAGATGATTACAAGATTTTCCCTTTAGTACAAAGAGTCAACCATCTGGCTTCAAACTCATCTAGCTTCCAGACTTTCTGCCTGCCATAAATAGAATATCTTAAGAAAAAGATGGTATTGTTTAGAGAGTCATTGAGGCTATGTGGAGGTTTGTCTGTGTTCTTAAGGTCACCTGAGTAGTGCAAATGAGTGTGGCACCTTCTTGGAACTTCTGATAGGAGTTGTGCCTTCTTCATGATGTTTTCTGCCCTGTGTCCCTTCACTGTGAACACAGGCACAGGCTATTGGGGATGAGACTGTGTTGTCTCCTTCTCAAGCTGAAGTCACAATGAAGGAATAGAGGGCAGAAAACATCCTACAGAAAACACAACCCCACAACACAGTCCTTTCAGCAGTTCCAAGAAGGTGCCACAACCATTTGTGACCCTGAGGACACTGACAAGTCTCCAAATGGCCTCAACACCTCTCTAAAAGAATGCAAATGACCAGCTGTCTGCAAGGAATATACATCTTTCCATTCCCCACCATCCAGTCAGAGCTGAAGAAGCTTCTTGTGAATAAGAAGCAAAATGTCTTTAAAAAAAACACGAAAGTCCAGTTGCCTCTTGTAAAAGCACCTTTGGGACAAAAATATGGTAACATTACTGGAATTATGATCTTGTTTTCCACAAACAGTGTCTTGCCATTCTTGCATTATCTCTATAACTGAACTGTGACTACTGTTGCTCCTTCCTTATTATCAAAACTAGTTATCATCTTTGTACAAGACCCTGTTTATTTCTCCTTGGGCTCATTGAAACTACTCGTATGAAGACTTCAAAGCCTGCTGAGGACTATGAAAAAGCCATGAATTTTTTTTCTCTTTTTCTTTATTTTTCCTCTAAAGATGACTCATTCTTTTCCCTACTGAGCCTTAGTCATAGCTGAGGCATTTAAAGTGACAAAATTCCCTTCTAGTGCTTCTGATCATGTTTTCTGTTTCTGGTTTAGAGGGTGAAGGCTATGCAACATGGCCGTGTTCACTTGACACAATTAGCAATTCCAGGATGTCCACAAACTCCCACATGCAATTAATTGATCCACCGATTACCTCTTAAGTAATCTTCCAAACTTCCAAACTTCTTTGTTTTTTCTGAGCCCTAAAGAAGTTCAGCAAGTGGGTCTTTTATAACTATTCTATCTCTGCTATTGTTCTGCCTTCTTCTCCTTCAATGGAGCTGCACAGGAGATTAAAAAGGGTAGAAAAGACTGAGATGAACACCAATTCTATGAAACTCTAGTGGCAATAGTGGTCCCACACTTCTTTCATTTTTAAGCAAAAAAGTATTGCTTTCCAGGGAATACATTGCCTGTATTGAAAAGACTTTGCCAAAATATGAGCATTACAGGATCCACATATTTTTTTCTTTACTGGACTACTCTAACTAAAGTACAGGAGTGGTGGATTAATCTTGCTTCACCTTAATGTTTAATTTTTGCTTAAATTCTAATTACATTAATTTTTAATTAGATTATCTAATTAAAAGACTAGCTAACCTGGCCTTTTGCTGAGGTCAGATTAGCACTTTATCAGAGTGCTAATTTGGAACCATAAACAGTATATATGTGGGGGCAAATAATCAGCTTTAGAATTGGAAAGTTCTACACATATATCCCTTTTTCTTAGAATAATTTGCTGTATTCTTATTTTTAGGAATCTGATCTGACCTTTCGTCTTGCCAGTGGCCTTGTCATTTGGCAGCCAATGTGGGAACACAGACAGCCAGAAGTCACTGCCTTTACTGCACTTGTTAAACCCATCAGGAATATAATCACAGGTTTGTGTGTTTGTGCGCATGTATATATGAGAACACACTAAAACAAGATCTTTTCCATCTATATGTACACTGTAGTTATTATGACCGTTGGATCAGTATAGATTTACAGTAGTATCTGCATGCTTCTTTTTTTCAAGGATGGTAGTGAGAGAGGCTTTCTATTGCCTGCACTGTTTTTACAAACAGAATTCTTAGCACTAATAGTCAAGCTATTCTGTGTCTCCATTTTTAATATATCTTTTCCTGATAACAAGGAAGAAAAAATTGTTGAGAAAACTATCTCCATTTTTTTTTAAAAAATAAGTCTAATGATAGAGGATAAACTAGAGGATAAACTTTTGAGATTTTAAAATATAGGTGTCCTTTAAAATCTAACCTTGAGTCACATTCTTTTTTTCTAATATAAATTTTATTTGGGTTTTTACAAAAACATAATACAAATAAAGCATCTTTTTTGAGAAAAGCATGATCCTGGGTTATCACTTCTTCATCAAGACACAAACTCAATTTCATATTCATCTTTGTGTTCTATTCCATAGCTTATTACTATTTTAACATTTTCTCCATAATTTTTCCCCTCCCTTGGTTTTCTCAACTTTATTTTTAATTATCTCATATCTAAATTCAATTATATATCTTTTTCTAAGTTTCAGTGTCTTTCCAATCATTATATTTATACTTTTGTCTGTGCTGTTTCAATTTCATATTATCTTTTCTTATTAAACAAATTTTCCCCTGTAGTTACTAATTGAAGTATGACACCTTTATATCTTTTAATTTTATACATTCAACTCTTATTTAAACTTCAATTTATGCCTTTAAAATTATAACATTCAATATAGTACATAACTTCCAATCGAATTCTGCTTGGTAAGATACTCTCAATCTTACACAGGAAAAGACCCGAACACGCCAAGACCTGCATATACATACATACATATATACATACATAATTTTTTTCCCTTAAGTTTCGCGGGTACTTACATGTATGGTATTCAGCTTTGTTCGGTTATTTTCCCACGTCATTATAGTTGTGCTTTTAAAGTTGTAGCAACGTTTCAGCAGAATCTCATCTGCCATCATCAGCCTGATGATACCCGAACAAAGCTGAATACCATACATACATACATACATACATATATTAAATAAAACACTCATTCCATTCCAATTCAATTCTATCATTAATATTAGTTAGAAGCTTAACATCTTTAACATTTCTGTTCAATTGAATATCATACTTCCTTGTGAACACTTATAAACTTTCCATAATTAATTCTTTTTTTCCATATTTCTCTTCACTTATATTTTTATAAATCATTAATAATAATTAAAATGTTCCCATCCTTTCCTAATTTCATTCTCATTCACTTTATTTCATTTATTTATTAACAAACATTCCACTGCATTACAATAATTATTTTATCCATCATTTTAATCATACATTGTTTCATATTTTCTAAAATTATTTCTATTTCTAATAAACAATACTATCTTATGTACCTTTGCAGAATCCCTTTTTCAATTAAAATTTCACCCATTATCTCTAAATAGGCTTATACTTTCAATCCGTATACATTTTCCCTGTTTCTCTATATCTTGTTTCTGTCTTTTATAACTTCTTTTCCTTTCCTTCTTCCCCCTCTTCTTCTCTCTCCCCTTTTTACCTCCTTGTCTCTCTACTTCTAATTCTCTGTTCTGTGATCCTCTCTTCCTAATATTGTAATTATTTTTCAAACTATTCTTTTTTTTTGGTTGTTTTTTCAAATCTTAAACTTTTCATTCTCTTTCTCCCCTTTCCTTTTTTTCCCCACATAAAATTACTTGATTATTAAGGATGGCTTCTTCTTTGTCCCAACCTTCTTGTTCTACAAGCGTTTCTTGTTGTTTCTCATAGTTCCAGATCTCCATTTCTAAAAATTGAAAAAGAACCTCTTCCTTCTTGTGCATCTTCTTTCTGTTTTTTAAGTTCCATTTTCAGTTCTTTTAAAAGTGATGCCATTTTAAACACTTTTAAACAACCACCCGATTGATTTTAGTCACTTAAATCCAATAGCCAAAAATCCAAAAATCACCAAATAATCCAAATCCAAAGCTGTTTCTTCTTGCTTCTTTTTTCCACTTTCTCTTCCTGGGGTTCTATTATTTTGTTACAAAGTTTCAGCTAGAATGTATCTTTTAGGAATCTTGTTAAGGTTTCACTGTAAGTTCCTTTTAGTTTCAGGCAGTCTCCTCCATTTTTCCAGATCCCGCCCTTTTATTCTTTCCTTTTCTCTCCTTTCCTGCTTTTAAAGTTTTTTGAGTATCCAAAAGTCTTTATTATCCCTTTGATATTTTATTTTCAGCTTAAATGCCTATTGATGTCAAAGTGGATTTTTGTCAATTTCTTACTTAAATCTCTTAACTGTCAGTATAAGGAAGGGAAGGAAAAAAAAAGGCAAATCCTTTCCCTTCCCTCTCTCCTTCGCTGCATCAAGGTCTTCTTTGGGAACAATGTTATTTTTTATAGTTCAAATTCCAGGGTACCTTATGTTGTTGTTTTTTCAGTTTAACCCGATCAACCAAAACTTCCTCTTCTTATCTTCCTCCTGCACATTCTTTTCCAGTCGAGTTCTTCTTTGAGGTGGCCATTTCTGACCACCGCTGCAACCACCTTCAAGAAAAGGAGTAATGGCCAGATGAGGAGGAGAGATGAGGCTTTCCTCGACACTGCTGGTGGTCTCTCCCCTCTTCACCACCTCTACGGGATGGCTTAGCCCCAAATCCAGCTGGCTTGGGGTGTTCCGGCGGTGAGCACAGATTGAAACCACATACGATCACGGATTTCAGTCCGTCGCCAAAGAAGCTCAAAGCGGAAGTCCACCTTGAGTCACATTCTGAGGATTTTTTGACACTAAAGTACTAAATTACTTGACATGTTGTCCCACTCCTAGAATTTGACAGGGGACATGTTTTACATTCTTTATGTACTCATACTAATGGCATGAATATAGCTTTGTTGAAAACCTTGGCAGAGTGCAATACTGTATGTGAATTCATTTGACTTAATGGAATAGTGGAATAACTGTATTCTATAATTCATTGATTATAGCAGTAACATGGAGCTCTCTGGCCTAGCTACTCCACGAACTTCCAGAAATATAGAAGACCATAAATACTGTCTTGGTTGGCTAATATTAATGTTGAAAATGAATCAGAAAGGGGCCCCACATTTCATACAAGCAATAGGTTTTTGTTCAAATCCATTGCTTGAGTAGGTAGGTGGCAGGTGAACTTAAAGCACATGGGGCAAGTCTAGGAGTACAAGTTCTGCCAATCTCTTACATGCTGTAGTATCTTTCATCCATAGTCATCGTCTTCTTCCTAGCATATTCCTGCAGATGCAGGGTCTGCTTTTCGGATCATTGAACACCACTTTGCATAGTTAGCTGCATCTCTGGGGCACAGGCCTATGGCTTGCATGTCTTTGTTGATGGTGTCTTGCCGCCTGCAAGGTTTTGGATGCCTGCAAGGTTGCTGGCCATTAACTTCTAGTTGGTAGGCAGTCTTTGCCATGGTGGAAGGTGCTGCTCTCTGGACATGTCCATACCAACAGAGCCGGGTGTCTCTCATCTTCTCTGTAATCCAAAGTAGCTGTCTCATTTAGCCCAATGGCAGAGAAATATAAGAAGGGCCAAAAATGGGAAATATTAGGAGGCTATCAGCTGCTGTCAAAGATGATGTCCCAGCATCTTAAGCATAGTATTAATGATGTAATGTAACTTATAATCATAATAAAGATGTTTCCTAGCTTCACCCAAAAAAGAGACAACCTTCATATGCAGTGAGAGCCAACTTTTATTTTTTATGGTAATGCTAATGAGGCCCAGAACTATATCCAACAACTTCCCTCCTCAAAATTCCTAGTTACCATAAATCACTTCTTATATATCTTTAAGAAGCTAAGAATTGCACCTACCAATTTTAATTCTGATCTCATCCACAATACTGTCTGCCCAATGTTTACAAAAAGATGCAATTAGAATTAGAATCTGTAATTCTAGATTCCCCAATATATAGTTCTATATTGATTAGAGAGGATAACTAGTTACTCATATATGATTAAGAGTGGGTCATTTAAAGTATAGTCTGCTGTCAGAATTGCTAAAGATTGATTCATGAAGCTTCTGTACTAATAAGTTGTTGAATTTGACAGCAAAGAGGAGTTCTCCAATCAAACACCAGGGTCTTACATGTGAATCTCCTAATTTGGATGCTGGGCATACAGAGGTAATGAGGGTATATTGTTTTGGAGGAAATAATAGGAATCAATGGTGGGAGTGGGGTAAGCTGACAAAACAAGCTTCCAAATAGAAATTGCCACCTGGGCTCAATTAAGTGTACATTAAAAATGGTAGTTCTGTTGTAGCCCTTTACAAAATTTTAAAATGGCATTCTCTTGATGGTTTAGTTTTTTTAAGTGATATATAATATTTATAAGCATTCAGAATAAAATTGTATAAGCCTTTACCTGCAAATTATTTTCTTTCCATGTCCATTTGTTTTCATTTTATAAGGTCTAAAAATAATTTCAATTTACCTCTAAGACTGGGAGATACAATTTTTCTTCCATCCTAACTTACAGAAACTTTCAAGACAATGTCTTGCTTGAACTTGTAGTCACAATGGTATTGATTCCATGGTGCATCTACACAATCTGCATTTTAACCTTGTTTCTCCCTGGCCTGCAGATAGTATGTGAATCAACAGAATCAGACTCTATTCCACCAAGACAAGCCTTCCTGGGCTGCCACCGTGGAAATTCCATTGATGGAAGCATTTCACCCCAAGCCTCCCAAGAGAAAGCAACTCCCTACCCTCGGTAGGCATTCTTCTGCAAGGTTGAAATTTGTCAGTTTCAATTCAATTAGTTCAACATAGGGTAATTTACAAAACAGAAAGACACTTCTATTAAAGAGAACCAGTGTGGTGTAATGGTTAAGGCACCAGGATAATTTTATGTTCCTTTGCTTTCCTTTATTCTATATCATCTTTCTCTCCAAAAGTCCTACTGGAAACCCTAAGATTATAACATGTTTAACGTGCAAGTTTTTCATGGCCGTTTTTCATTTTCAGCACAGATTGATGTAGTACAGTAGTACAGTTGTATCCAACCAAGAGTCCTACTAGGGGCTTTGGACTATAATATTTAGATTCCTCAATCCCCTAGTCATTGTGGAATTGTAGTCTTGGATACCTTAGAACACTTTGTCATACTTCAAAAGCTGAACAGAAAACATTTTGTTCATAAAATTCTTTAAAAAGTAAAGATAATAGTTCATTTGGTATGAACTGGAGAACTTCTTTATATAGAGAGCCTGAAACAAAACATATGTAAGTGCTTAATTAGCCAGCGGATGCCTTATTTGATAGGGCAAATGTATGACTTTATTTGGTTCCAGACTTCATAGTTAACATGTTATTGATGACATTGTAGAAATGTGGCACTTGTAGCTTACTAGTGAGAAGTCAAAAGATGTGCCTTACATATAGAGAGAGGAACAGCATGTGCACATACAGATGGTTAAAAAGAAACAGGAAATCAAATTGGTATTTTCTATGTGTTGGGTCCTTTCTACTCTCAAATATGCAGGTTCAAAATAGAGCAAGGCATTCAGTCTCTGAAACTGAGCTGAGTGGTCACTATGGCAATGAAGCTGCAGGCAGGGTCTCTAACCTGCGTCATTAATTTCTCTTCATTTGCTGAACTCATTGATCACTCCAAACGGAACTGGAGAGGGTGTTGCCTAGCAACAAGCAAGAACAGAATATATGTTGTTTGCTCTACTTACTGATCCAACTTTTCTACAATTATTTCTGTCCTTGAAGATAAAATTCAAACAATCATTACATCCTGGCCTTTGGGGAAAGTGTACAATCGCTGACTCAGTGAGCTTAGTGTGCAATTAAAATTAAATAGAAATTTTTTTTTATACATTTTAAAAATTGCTTTAAGGGGGAAGGGGAAAGAGAAACAGAAGCGGAAAAGCGGGGAGAAAGGGACAAAAATAATTTAGAAAAAAATCAACACCACTAACTCAAACCAAGTGACTTCTAGACCTACGTTGTTGTATTTAATGCAGGAGACAGAACAGAGCTTTTGATAAAAATGAAGCCAAGACCTTTCACAGAATTCCAGAGGATAACTTGCTACTTGTACTAACAGAGGCAAGTTACCTGATTGCTTGTGTCCCATAGAGAGAAAGAAGTCAAAATATATGTCAATGATAAATCTCTTTGAAATAACATAAGGATATTCACCTAGAAATGCTGTTGTAGCCCTTTACAAAATTTATTGCTTCCAGTAATTTAGCTGAATTTTTTTCCATCTATTTATGCTCATTTTTCTTTGAGCTAAGAATCTGATATATTTACAAGAACATTTGAAAAAAGTTTCACTGAAATAATTATTTGCATATTTAAAAGAATCCAAGCAATAAATGGAATGCAATTTTTATAAATTTCAATAGAAACTTAATGGAGTTTGTAGGAAGCTTCGAAGTATATGGCAAAATATCATATATTGATAGTCCACTCATTAACTGTTCAAAGTTGCAACAGAACTGAACAAGGGGAAGTTATAACCAGTCCTCAAAGTTCTGACCATTTCAGCAAATCTTCAGTCACATGATTGTGATTCAGCCACTTGGCAACTGGCTCACACTTACAACAGTTACAGCATCCTCTGGGCTCATGAGTGCCATTTGTGACTTTTCCTGCTGGCTTCGCACAAGCAAAGTACATGAGGAAGCCAGCAGGAGGCTCCAGTCCTGCTGTTGTTTCTCCTGAGGAATTTCATACTCCATTGAAACCCTTACCTGTCTGCACTGTAATTTCACACCTGTTTGCAGACCCATCCATATAGCACCTGAACACACACCCGACATTTCTTGTACAGGACTCCTGCCACTTTCTGTTTAACAATCCTCACAGTTCTGGGATTATGATGGCAATGGGGAGTGCTATGATTACCATCACTAAGCAATATAATCATGTGACATTGTGCTTTATGACCACATTGCTTAGCAACAGAAATTCTGGTCCCCGTTGCCATTATAACCACCTAAGGACTAAGTGAATTTGTCATGCTATTCAATTAACTGAATACTTCATTAAATTGCCAAATAATACAATGATAACAATAGCTCTTATTTTCATAGATTTAATGTTATCTTTTCTTTCTTTAAGAAATGCTTAATGGTGAATAAACAAGGCATCAGGCATAAGGTTAGGAAGAGATATATTGCATAAAAACACATTAATTTCTTCAATATTGACTAAAACCATTATGTATTTTATCCTGGTAATCCTTAATAGTAGAGATAAGGCGACATTGTTGTAACCAAGTTCCATCTAAGGTGTATAGGAAATAGGTAAACTTTTTAACATATTGCTGTTACATGCATTTGTTTATTTATATTGTGGACCACAAATTTGTTGTTGTCTTGAGAAACATTTTTTCTGCACAAGGCCTGTCAGAAATTAGAACATTGAATGTAATTATTTCAATCAACAGTTATCTGATCTTTCAACTTGCTCAAAAAGCCTTTGCTGAACAATTCATTAGGTATTCTGTTATAGGGGCACAATAGGAATCATTCTTATTTAGCACAGCTAAAAGTTTTGTACAATTCTGATGCAGGTAATTTAGAATGTCTGCCTTAAAGGTTCCTTAGCTTTCTTCCCCAAATAGTCTCACTGTTACATTTTTCTTACATTTTTGTTTCTCTGTGAAAGATAATATGACTGTATATTTAGCTTACATTCTATATATGGGGGCGGGGGGATTCAAACTTTCTTTCAACTGTATATCAGTTTGCATCTCTTTCATAAAAGTGGATCCTTTAACAAATCATATAGTATCCCCCCATCCCAAAATGAGATGACTGTTTCTTACAATAGTCACAATTAATACTTATATTTATTTGCAGATCCATTTAATGTGTAAGATATGAATAAATAAGCTAGTTGAGAGCAAGGTAGTTTGTAGAGTAGTTTTCCAAGCATGCATAGAATGGCATAATCAGGGTAAATTTGGGCTCCAGTTGCTTGTGGCATACTAGCTGAAATGTACCACTTTGACTAATATTGTCCATACCATTATCAGAGACAGAGATACAACAAAGTTTAGTAACCTGCTTTGTGGCTTTTCTATCATGGTAAAAAACATTGTGTGAAAGCTCTGGTTGACCAAAAACATGAGGAGAGGAGAGGTCAAATCGTTGGACTTAACTGGTGATAACTAAGCCTTACAAATGATTAAAACTTGGATTAAAAGAGTACATTGTAAACAACATTAATTAATGAAAGGAAATGGAAATAGATATGTTGAGCATCTGTGAAACTAATAAAAAAGGAAAGATGTAAGAGATCTGAATGATCATGTAGCATTCAGAAATACATGCTAGGAAAGAAAGGTGTATGTGTAATTAAGAGGGGGAAATGTCAAAATCTGTGTTAGGAAATATGAATTACTGTCATCTAGATTGTTATGGGAATGTATGAAAACAGGAGTCCATATGTCAGTGAGTCACATGATATGCTGCAATGAAGTGTGATAATAGAAGAACAAGAACTGAGCAACATTGTGGGTGAACGTGTTCCCGGGAAAATATATTGCTAGTGACATGAGTGGATGGGCAGGATCAAAATGATAACATTCAGAAAATGTGAACAGGCCATTTGAAGACCCTACAATGAATGGTGATGAGTTTAGTTTTAACTATATAGTCTAAAACATAACTGTATTTTGGCACATATAGGAAAAGGAGATATAAAGCTAAAAGCATTATTGATTTAATTGTTTATGATGAATGACTATGAGAACTAATGAAGAATTCAAGTGTGGTGAGAGGTTTGGAATGTATGGAAGACAATTTTATTGCAGTGTTGAAAATGGATTTTGGAGGGAAATGAAAAATAAAGGAAAGGAAAAAAATGGAAAAAAGAAAAGTGAAAGAAAAATACTTACAGGGATGGAGCTCTGTATATTAGGTTTGTGGTTACAATATAATTTTATATATTTGTATAAAGGATTAGAAGATAGATTTGTCTCCTGTCAGAACAACTGGAAAGCAGGCAATAAAGAAAGAAGACGTGAAAGCTACCTGAAACAGAGTGAAAAAAAATGAAGCAGAGTGCGTCAGAATTATGTGGAGCTAATGAGAAGGATGAACGTGTTTGGTGGCATGGTAAAATGAAAGAAACTGAATGAGGGGAAAATATCTACAGTATATGTTGCTATAGTAATTTATATATGTGAGGGGGTTGTAGGTGTGTGTGTGTGTGTGTGTGTGTATTGCTGCAAAAAGCAGAATGAGAGAAAGAAATTGTATCTTGTGTAAAGAGAAAGGGTAACAGCTAAAAATGTAGTCAAAGAAAAGAATGATTTAAGATTAAAAGGGTCAGGAAAAAAGCAGCTCCGTTTTGTAAGAGTATGAAGCATTGTTTTGTAAGTGGATGAGTGGAGCCACCTGCAGAGTGAACATAATTCAAAAGAAAGTAAAGTGATGAAATTATTGAAGTGGAGGAATGCCTGAGGGACTATTCTATGGAAATATGTTAGAGTAAAATTACAAATATCAGCAATAAACCTGATGAAAAGTAATACATGCTGTGAACCTTCTGAAATATGATTATGATAACAATATAGATACCATTATTGGAAAAATGTTATAATATGATGGTTTGTTTACAAAATTGTATCTGTCCCTGACAATTGGAATAATTTTCCTGTGGTATTATTAGGGTTCATATAGGTGTGCAATTTCAGTTAAAATGGACAAAACCAAACTAGATTATGGTAGCACTTAGAGGATCCTTGTTAGAATACAAATGCTCTTGAAAGTGTATGTTTATCTGCAGAATATTCATTAGATGTATTTTACAGTATACATAATTTCACATTTAACATATTTTTCATTAGATATATAAACAATGTTGAAAGCAGTAATCCATTAACTGGTAGGAGAAGCACTGATGCACCAATGAAGCATCAACTGAATTGATTAAACACTTTATAGAGAATAGATTATTAATCAGTTTTCAAACACACATGCTTAGAAGAAGGAATGCCTATAATTGCCTACTCTTCAATATCCTCATAAATGACTTAGATGAGGGACTAGAAGGGGAACTCATCAAATTTGTAGATGACACTAAACTGGCAGGAATAGTCAACACCCCAGAAGACAAGCTCAGGATCCAAAAAGAAACTTGAACAATGAGCCCTATTAAAAAAAATGAATTTTAATGTGGAGAAAAGCAAAGGTATTAGTACATATTAAGTGAGAACTGGATCAAAAACAGAAACTGTGAGAGGGACCTTGAAGTCCTAGTGGATGATCACTTGAATATGAGCCAGCTGTGTGCGGTGGCAGCCAAAAAAGCTAATTCAATCCTGGGCTATATAAATAGAGGCATAGAATCAAGATCACATGAAGTAGTTGTACCACTTTATAAAACCCTACTAAGACCATACCTGGAATGCTGCAACCAATTTTGGTCACCATACTACAAAAACGATGTTGAGACTTTGGAAAAAATTCGAAGAAGAGCAACTAAGATTATCAAAGGCCTGGAGACTAAAACATATGAAAAATAACTGCAGGATTTTAGGATTCTTCTTCACACTCCTAAGTCTTGGAATAAAAGCTACATTTCATATTAATCAATTTGTGTTTTTCTAAACAAGAGGTTTGGGGTCACATAATATACCACATTTGGGGATTGTCTGTTAAGACCTTGCTGATATTAACAACTCTATCTCTATAGGATGAAGAAACAGATTGTTATCTGAGGGCCCACATCTTGATTGCTGCTTGAGTCCTCAATTGATTGGATTAATGTGCTTCTTTTTGCTCTTCGTAACAGAGTGTCTTTGGTGATCCCACCATGCCAAAGGTCCCGCTATGCCACTTACTTTGATGTTGCTGTATTACGATGCCTGCTTCAGCCACACTGGTCTGAGGAAGGCACACAATGGTCCTTGATGTATTATCTCCAGCGGCTGCGCCACATGTTAGAAGAAAAGCCAGAGAAATCATTTGACCCAGAAGCCCCACCATTGCCAAGGCCACGCAGTAGTTCCATGGTGGCTGCTGCTCCCTCACTAGTCAATACTCACAAAACACAGGTAAAATCAGGCAATTGGGTGACTAATAAATGAGTCTCCATAGGCAAATAGGCAGCAATATAAATCCAATAAATAAATAATATTTCTAGTTTTAAACATTAACACTTGGTCAAAAGTTCTGTTGCAAGTTAGGATTGAAATTCAGATTTAATTCTGCATTATTGAATGAAGTACTCATTATTACCATTGAAGTTCTAGATATACATACTGAGCTTTAGTTATTGTAGATTGTTTATGTGTCTTTACTTTGTGGGTGCTTATGCTAAAAGAACCTAAATAATGTGAGAAACAAAAGACCATGGACATCATTATAATCATAAGCAAGTACAGGAAGTATTGATTAGTATTTTTCTATATTATCAAACATGAGAATCAATGAAAAACCGAGAGAGAGAGGGAGGGAGGGAGGGAAGGAGGGAGGGAGGGAGGGAGGTGCAAATAAGCAGATATGTAGGAACAGCAACAATTTTAGCTAAATATTGAAGTCTACAGAACAATAAGACTTTTAAGAAAGAAGATCTGATATGATGATCCCAAAGTAGCCAGTGAAGACCGTTCTTTGTACTTTCTAGAAAACACTGCAAGATTATAGAGAGAAAACTGCAATATGGACAGAAGCATGTCTGTTGTGATAGGAAGTAGTTAGCACTGGAAATGTTAGAGTATGACTAAACTAAATATTTTTTTTATTCATATTCAAAACATTACAGTTCAAGCACTACAACAAGGTTCCAATTCTCTATTATTCAAAGGAAACAAATGCTGACAGTGTTTACAAAAAGACTGTTTTACATTCTTGTGTTTTTCTTATCTTTCTTGGGGAGTGTAGGATCTCACAATGAAATGTAATGAGGAAGAAAAATCATTAAGCACCGAAGCTTTTGCCAAAGTATCCCTAACTAACCTGAGGAGACCAGCAGTTCCAGATCTCTCCTCTGATTTGGGAATGAATATATTTAAAAAGGTAAAACTATAATGTTTTAAATACTATTTGTGATCCCTAAATGATATATCAGAGTGCTCACAATATGATTAGGTGAGACAACCCAAGAGCAAATACAGTAAATAGGTTTCTATTTAAATATAGTGGTTTTATCTCTACAAAAAAAATATATACATACAAGTGCTTTGAGACAGGCCTTGAACAAACAGTAGTCAGTTATTTACAGCATGGAAGTACACAGAGAGAGAGATACACCCCAACAGGGCCTCTCTTATAATACAGCCTCTTAAAGTGCTAGCAATTAAATAACCTTGCTGACTCATTACTACCATTGCATCATCATTACAGCATTCCAATATTACAGCAGCTGGTCACCTATTAAATCATCATTACCCTGACACTCCTCCCATTTAAAGCTGAATGCTTTAACATATTCATGTTGTTTTTTATCTCTATTATGTCCACGCCTCCTGCTTTGGTTTCTACTCTCACTGCTACAAACACAACTAGTACCATTACTACTACTGCTGCTGGAACTGAATTTCTTTTCCTAATGGCTCATTAGTTTTCATTATATCTTGCTTACCATCTCTTGGTTGAATACCTTCACTTTCTCTATCCAGCTCAGTCTGGTTTCTCTGTCTGCCTGACATTCTCTTTAACTTCAACTTCCTCCATTTGTCCTGTTCTGCCTTAGGCAATGACAACTTTTCTTGGTACTTACAGGATTCATTATGAATACTACCTACTCTAACCCCACTTGCAGTGAACTGCTCAGGAAGTATACCTTTATTGCACCTTTCAGGTCTCCTAGGTATAACTCTGTTCGTTTGCCTTGAGTTTTTCCTACTCACAGGATACACCCTGGATTTTGCCTCCTTACAAACAGTGCAATCTAAGTATATCTTGCACTGCTTTGGCTTTGGCTTGCACCCCTCAGCTAGGTCTGGCATCTTCTACAGTACTCTGCAACTCTCATGCCCCAATCTCCTGTGCCATAAATGTACACAGTCATCATGTGTATGAGCGTTCATACGTGTTCATGCACAACCATGCTCCTGCCTTCCTAGAATGTACAGACCATGCTTCTTAACCCTTTGTACATGACTTTTTCCATCTTTCCTGATGGAGTACTGTCCTCCTGCAAACAGTATTTTATACCCTTGACTGTCTAACCTGGAAACACTCTGAACTGGGGAAATAGTTAAGAACTGGTTTGCCTGAACCAGTGCGAACCAGCTGAAAACCACGTCTACACATAGCCTAATACAGGGGTGTCAAACTCAAGGCCCGGGGACTGGATTCAGCCCATAGGGTGCTTAGATCTGGCTCATGGGGCTGCCCTAGAAAAAGCAAAGGACTGGCCCACAGTGCCTCTGCCAGGGAAAACAGAGCTTAGGAGTGCTGCATGCAGCTCTCTCGAGCTCTGTTTTCACTGGCAGAGGGTTGCAGGAGGCTGTTGCAGCTAAAATGGAGCTCGGGAGCCCGTTTTCACTAGCAGACCGCTCGAGCCACTGCAGGCACCCCTGACATGAGTGATGTTGAGCTTGGCCATACCCACTCTGATCATGCCCACCCCAGCTCCCCAAGTTCAAAAATGACCCTGATGCAGCTCTTAATGAAATCGAGATTGACACCCCTGGCCTAATATTTTCCAGTCTTATTGGCACCAGCTCCATCTTATATAATAAACATATATTCCACTGCAATGCCATGGTCACTTCTGTATTTTATGACACCACTTGCATCCCTAACCCATTCTCCATCAATCTACAGTCCAACCGTTTCTAATGAGCTAAAATTCACTTGTTATTCTATTATTAATGCAGCATAAATCTTCTCCTAGTTTGGTTACTTTAAATTAGGATTGGGCAAATTGTGGCTCAGAAGTAGCTGCAGCCACATATGTCCTGATTAGTCAATCTTCAGTCCTGTATCCAGTCCTTTTGAAATAGAAAATACATGAAAATAAAATATCCATTCTCCAGAGAAACTCAGTATTTTTAATGGCTATGAGGTAACCTAATACTGTGAGATCTTCAGCCTTCTGGGAAAAAAATAAGCCTGTTTCCAGGTCACCTAAATGTCGCCTTCCCCTACTCTGGTTAGATTAAACAGTATAGGCAAAAAAAAGCAAACTAATTCCAGGTTATTTTTAAGGATCTGAGCCTCAGAGAAGAGATTTGTTGTTTGTTTATTACATTTATATTCTACCCATCTCACTATTGAAGCAACTCTGAATTCTTGTTTCGTGCTTTCTTCAATTCCCTTATGAGATTTCTTCTACATTTTTTCTGCAGTTCAAGAGCCGCAAGGAGGATCGTGAACGCAAGGGCTCTATTCCTTTCCACCACACAGGGAAGAAAAGGCAACGGCGAATGGGAGTGCCCTTCCTGCTCCATGAAGACCATTTGGATGTATCACCTACTCGAAGCACATTCTCTTTTGGCAGCTTCTCTGGGATTGGTGAAGACAGGCGTGGCATTGAGAGAGGAGGATGGCAAACCACTATTCTAGGTGAATAAGAGGCTCTTACTAAAGACAAGAAATTTTTCTAATAAACCAGAATTTTCTACTGGTTGTGAGCATCAGTTACTTGTAATTACAGAGTGTACACAATGATGTCCATCTACTGATAACAACAGGAACAACAACAACGAATTCTTCTTTCCTGTTTGTACTATTTGTATTAATTGTACTGTTCACACATCATCCAATCTCCTCTGGAGAATTAAGGGATCATCAGCCTAGATTGGAGGAGAAATGAGGAATAAAGTAGTGAAGGTGGTAAAAGATTGAGGGGAAATCTCATTAGGCAGTTAAAAATCCATTTACAACATTTAATGCCACCCAACATAAGTTATTAATTTAATCTTATAAGAATCCCATTTGTTATATGTTATTACTTATGCAATTTTTCTTTTGATCCTACATATTTGTTGTTTGCTTAGTCTGGATAATTATTCAATCATTAATTATTTTCTGCCCACTGGAAGGAGATTGATCCATTCTAATCAAACTGCTAAAGCTCTTAAGTCAATAATCACTCTGCATTACAACTAAGATATTCATTTTCTTGGTCTCTTCATCTTACATGAAAGAGAAAGACATTTTCATTTTTATAGTACTTTCTCACTTATTCATATACTTTGTAATAGCAAATGCAGTGGCTAGGCTCCTCGCTGCAGTTTTGCTGCCACTTCCAGGATTTTTCTCATCTGTAGATGCCCAGTCATTTCCAGCTTCTGAAGCTGCTTACCCCAGTACTTTTAAGAATTATAATCCATGAAAAGAAAATAAGATATATGACTTCCCATCAAAACGAAAACAAACACGATGAGCCTTAAAACTGATGTGTTAGAATAAAAAATATATATCAGCAAGAATACAAGGCCGACTAATCTTTCCTACCCTTCACCCCTACCGACTGATTGGCAACAGACTGAACAAGGGAAAAATCCCATATTATTTATAACTGGCTCCTGTTGAACCCAGTTCAGAGTAAATGAGATTGCCAACTTTGTTTAACCCATCACTTCAACCAATTGACTTCTGACCCGTGCCTCATTCAAAGTCTCTTTAATCAGTGGACATTATAATGACCTGAAATTTGTATTGTGACAATCCACAAAGGTACAGTCCCTATGAATCCCAATCGTATTTTTTATTTTAAATATTATGCAGTTTGCAAATGATTTCTGAGTAAATGATAGAATAGTAAGATGGGGGACAACAACATAAATAAAAATAAAAATAAAATGATGGTGTAACACTAACTGGACAATGCAAGTCTCTTTTTTCTACTCCAGGGAGATTTACAAGGCGAGGCAGCTCTGATACAGCTACTGAGATGGAAAGTCTGAGTGCTCGGCATTCTCATTCCCACCATACTTTGGTTACTGACCTGCCAGATCACTCCAACAGCCACGGTGAGGTGATATCCAAGAGCATGAGCAAGTGATTTTTCAGCACAGTATTCTTGAAGAAGCCCAGATGACAATTAGTTAGAGTTAGAATATCGGTACATTAATTCATTTTTCTCCTATGAGAAATCACAAACTTTTGTATTACCCAGGATTTTTTTCAGGATTTGTGCTTACATCAGGTTCCAGCTATAAGTGAGTCTTCTTATTACATCAGAAGAGGGCAGTGTTGCAAGAATTACTGTAGATAAAGATGATATATTGTTTGAACTCCTAAGTTTGTATGAACAACTAATATTTGCAATATTAATGCAATATCAGGGATTTTCAATTCAATTGTTTAGAATGCGAAGGATATGTGTTTGTGTTTTATTTTTATAGTTACAATGTACATTGAAGATGGCATTTAATTTCGTTGTACAAGGTGCAATGACAATAAACTAAAATTAAATTTCCCCAAATGTTGCTGATCTTACAAGGGTTCCAGAATAGACCAATAGATTTTTCTTTCTTCTATTTAGTTCTGCTTATAGGTGGTTATTTGCTTAATTAGTTGTGAATAATAGTTGTAATGTTCCAGAGCTGAATACTGTACTTAAATGAATCAGCTTACATCTTAATATCAAGTGCTCTGTCCTATGAACTAATATCTGATGCTCTCTTGCAGTACGATCCCAAATTTCCACCATCACGGTGGCCACCTTCAATACCACACTGGCCTCTTTCAATGTAGGCTATGCTGATTTCTTCAGTGAGCACATGCGCAAGCTTTGCAACCAGGTGCCCATACCAGAAATGCCCCATGAGCCTCTGGCATGTGCCAATCTCCCTCGAAGTCTGACAGATTCTTGCATCAACTATAGTTGCCTGGAAGATACAGATCACATAGATGGGACCAGCAACTTTGTCCACAAGAATGGCATGCTGGATCTTTCGGTAATGATCATGAAAAAGGAATATTCTTTTCTATGCTAGTTATTGTAATGATGGCAATCAAAATCCCTTAAGTTTGCAGTCTTGTTCCATTTCAGCCATGCATAAAGGTCATTCACATATTTTATTTTATCCTGTGTTATGCCTTAAAATTTTTGTTGCCCACATTGCAGTTGAAAGATGGACTAGGTTAAAAATGCAAATCAAGAAGTTCATTTTCCTATTTCTCAGTGAATAGAAGTATAAATTTTAGTGCCACTGACTGACCAGCAGGCTTAAATCTTGTTGGGTTATTTTCAAACTTCAGAAAGTGGTCAAATAAAATTGCCATCTTACTGGAAGGGGCTAATTTCTAAACTCCCATGCATGCAGAATCTTTAATTACAGGGGGGGACTACATTTCAGTGAGAGCGACTTTACATTAATTTATTGGTATCCTTTAGGAACCAGCTACACAATGCTAAGCATTGATCTTTTTCAGGATATTGATAGAGAAAGAGAGGCAAGATACTTAGGATAGAGATGAATATCTATAAAACCTGGAGACTGTTAAGTATGCCAACATACTATGTGTTCAGAGATTGACCTTTTAGAAATATCATCTTGAAAAGATTTTCCTTCAGAGGGCAGAGAAAAACATGAGCATCATCTATATTTGACTTAATTGTAGCCTATTAGGTGTATTAAATGGAGTAGAAATACAACAGTAGGAACATTTGAATTATGGAATGCTAGTGTTCTTGATTTTAAGAGCACTAATTTGTCAAACAGTTATCAAATCAATGATAACTAGGCTCCTGCAGCAGAAGATAATGGGAAAAGAAGCCAAAGATGAGTGGAATTTCCCAAAAAAGTACAGTAGCAAACAGTTCCAGATTGGGGGGAGGGGGATAGAATGCAGCAGAAGAAACCAAACCAGTTGCACAATCAAGAGGAGAGATTTATGAGGTGAAAAATGAGACAATCATGCAGAAGTACATAAAAGCAACCCTGATTTGAAAAGATGATGCAACAAAACAAAAATCACAACAAATCAAGGGTAATGAATTATACTGGGGGAAGACGTTTCCATATAATTTCACAATAAAAGAAGAACATTATACCAGCTATTCAGTGGGATGACAAAAAGATAAAAACTAACAAAGAGAAAAAGTAGAACTATGGAACCCTATTTGGCATCTTCTTTGAGAACAGAATATGCATCCCATCAGATCATTATGAAGAACTTGTTGGAAGAGCAGAATTTCAATTCCAGATTGATGGAGAAACCTAATCAAGGAATGGAGTTCAAATTTTACAAAGGATTACGGTACATGGAGATTGAAGGAACTACTGTTAGACCTTTGGACCCAGCCTCCAGAATGGATGAGAACATGAATATAGCATCTGTATGTGTTCTGCATCTTTTCCTGGGATGTCACCAATTGCAAGTTTATGGAGATCCCAAGAAAAACAGCTGCTTTATACTGTTGTTAACATGTGCTACATTGGGACTCCCATGTATTCTGAAGCACCTTTTGCAGTCCTGGATCCAAAGTCCTAAGCGATATGTTCAGCCTTGACTAAAGACAACCATATGGGGATATTTAGATTTAGATGCGGGAATAGAAGAGAAACTCATCAAATTTGCAGCCATCCTGCAGATGGCTGGCAGAAAAAGCCAACATGCCAGAAGATAGGCTCAAAATCCAGCTGGATCTTGAAAGACTTGACCATTGGGCCTATCTAACAAAATGAAATATAATGTAAAGAAAAGCAAGGTTTTACACTTAGGCAAGAAAAAACAAATGTACAAGTACAGATTAGGTGAAACTGGCTCAGCAGCAGTAACTGGGAGAAGGATCTTGGAGTCCTAGTAGACAAGCACTTGTATATGAGCTAGCAGTGTGCTGCAGCCACCAAAAAAGCCCATGAAATCCTAGACTGCATTAACAGAGCTATAGAATCAAGATCACACGAAGTGTTAGTTCTGCTTTATAAGGCCTTGGTAAAACCACACTTGGAATACTGCATCCAGTTTTAGTCACCACGATATAAAAAATATACTTGAGACTCTGGAAAGAGTGTAGAAAAAAAGCAAGAAAGATTATTAGGGTACTGGAAGCTAAAACATATGAAAAGCAATTGCAGGAATTGGGTTTGTCTAGTCTGGTAAAAAGAAGGAACTGGGCTGACATTATAGCAATGTTCCAATATTTGAAGCTGCCACAAAGAAGAGGGGTCCAGCTTATTTACCAAAGCACTGGAGGGCAGGAGAAAAAGCAAGGGATGGAAACTAACCAAGGAGAGAAGCAACCTAGAACTAAGGAAAAATTTCCTGACAGGGAGAACACTCAACCAATGGAACAGTTCGCTTTCAAAAGTTGTGGGTGCTCCATCATCTTTTAAGAAGAGACTGGACAGTCAATTATCTGAAATGGTATAGGATCTCCTGCTCTAGCAGCGGCTTGGACTAGAAGACCTCCAAGGTGCCTTGCAATGCTGATGTTCTATGAATATGAGAATAGTGTTCGAATATCTGAAAGGAAATCTATTATCCCATGATGTATGCCCCAGAATAATAACCTCCAAACACAGAAAGGCAAATACTGTTAAGAGTTTGACCAAGGAAGTACAGGTAATCAACTTACAACAGTTCATTTAGTGACTGTTCAAAGTTACAGTGGCACTGAAAAAAGCAACTTATGACCATTTTTTACACTTACGACCATTGCAGCATCCCCATGGATTTACATTTGGATGCTTGACAACTGACTCACATTTATGATGGATGCAGTGTTCCGGGGTCATATGATCACCTTTTGCAACCTTCTGACAAGCAAAGTCAATGGGGAAACCAGATTCATTTGACAGCTGTGATATTAATTTAACAACTTCAGTGATTCACTTAACAAATGTGGCAAGAAAAGTCATAAAATGGGGCAAAATTCACTTAACAAATTTCTCATTTGGCAACATAAATTTTGGTCTCAATTGTGGTCATAAGTTGAGGACTACCTGTAGTAACTTAGGAAATGGTAAGCTCCCTTGACTAGGTGTGTGGAGATAGCCATCTTTCAGACTAGGGACTTGAAAATCTACAGTTTTATCAAATTGTTTTTGTTTTATATTCTTTCAGCAACAAACTGCTTTCTAACAAAGGCGGATTTGTTTTAGATCAGCTGAAAAAGCACTGCTACCAGAAAATTGAACTGGGTCATGCTTAAGATGGCTTATATAAATGGTGCACACATTCACCTGCTATTATGCTATAACTGAACATGTCCCCTTGTTATAGGATATCACATTTAGACAATTTCTTTAGAGACTGCAGTCAGGTTTTTGCAAACTATGTGAATATAGTGTTGCCTGCAATATCTAACATTTCTTCTTTCAAGGTGGTTCTTAAAGCAGTTTACTTGGTCTTGAATCATGACATCAGCTCCAGAATCTGTGATGTGGCCCTCAATATTGTGGAATGTCTGCTTCAGCTTGGTGTGGTACCCTGTGTGGAGAAGATCAGAAGGAAAAGTGAGAATAAGGAGAATGAGACCAATGAAAAGAGACAAAGTGAAACTTCCTTTCAACTCAAGGGGGCTTTGACTACCTCAGCGTCTGGATTTGGGACTGCTCCAATAACTGGAACAGGAGATGGCAGTGGAGAAGGAGGAGGAGGAGTTGGAAGTGCTGCTGGAGGAGGAGGAAGTGGTGGAGGAGATGGAGGAGATGGTGGTGGAGGAGGAGGGGGAGAAGGTGGAGGAAGATCTTTTGAAAAGAATGATAAAAAGGAAGACAAGGTATGTTGAAGCTCTCAGAGGCTCATTGTTTGACTGAAACTGAATATGGGTTATATGAACACAAAGAAGAATTATTCAAGTCATTTCAGTGTATGTAGCATTCAGTATAAGATCTTGATCTTATGGTTTAATTTCCTGAAGCAAAAATTAGAAGGATGCTTTTACACTCCCATCTTAATTTGAAGAATTTATTCTAGTTAAATATGTACGACTTTTGCAATAATAGTATTTTATTAGTATTAGCATGAATAAAGTTATAAACTTTATTGTGAGTTACAAACAAGAATACTTGCTTTTGGAGAACTGCATATTATTCTGAGTTCTACCAAATTAGCACTCTTGCAAAATAAGTTTCAGCAAGCTAATACATGATTTGCAACTGGTGATCAATTGCCCTCAATGTATAGTCCTCTGTGGATCTACATTTAAATGGAGTGAAGGATACGGGTTTCACTTATTGGCATCCAACTGGGAAAGATCTTGTGATGTGATGAATAATTAGTACAAGTGCCAAATTAATAAATAATTGCTAGGAAGAAGACTAATTCCATGTTGGAATTCATTAGGAGGCAATCTGAAAACAAAGCTGTCTATAATGTTATATCCTTACAAAATGCAGTCATATGTGGAATACTGTATGAAGTTCGATTAACCTCAAGGTGAGAAAGATTAGACCACATGAAATATGTATGCATGTAGCACATTGTTACTCAATTTTCCAAGCTGTCATGACAGCCAACAACATAGACAGCTTTAAGGGAGGATAAGAAAATGTAGATAAGACCACCAGTAACAATAGTACATCCAGGATCAAAGGCAGGTTACTTTCTAGAACTGGCTCTTGTAGAAAACAGGTGTGCTTTGTGAGGTTACTATGTTTATATCCTCTTAGTATCTTCCCAGAGGCATCTGGCTGACATTTGTGAGAAGTAGATGCTGGATCTGGAATACATTTGTACTGTGTGTTCTTACTTCGTCCAAGATTGTAAAGAATAAAGGGAATTACTTCTCTCTGAATTTCAAAGTCTTTTGATCAGACCAAGGCAACCTATCCTCATAAAACTGATCGTTTTGTTTACCAGTATTAAAGCTATCTCCTTTAAAGAAACATTTAAGCCTTAAATGTTATCATTTGTAGAAAAAAATTTCTATGTAAGATTTATTCTGGTAAACTGGCACGTACCAGTTTGATATTATTTTTCTGATTCTCATCGTAAACTGAATAGCTTTCTCTCTGGTCTTTCTGGTTTCTTCAAATATTATGCTGCTAAGGATGAAAATACCCCAGTAAGCACTCATAGGCTGGCTCTGACAATGCTGATAAAAATTGTGAAGTCTCTGGGCTGTGCATATGGCTGTGGAGAAGGTCATCGCGGACTCTCTGGAGATCGTCTGAGACATCAGGTATAAAACTGCAGAAGGATGGAAAAGAATTTGTTTCCAAATCTCTTCCCTTTTAAATCCATAATATTTTGATACCATGGATTTTAATAGCCGTCCAGTAGTTAACTGTGGAGCCTGTGCTTAGGGTGTATTTGGGCATATTCCAACATCCTGGTTGTCATGGTTCTGATAATAGAAAGACAACTATGGAAAAAAATTCTAGTGTTCAAAGCATATCTACATTAGAGAAATCATTTTAGCTTCAAATCAACCATGAATGTTTAGAATAATGTGAATAGAGATAGGGCAAAAGAGAGGTCCTTTAGATCTAGGAGAAAAGGACAGGTTATCAAAGGGACCCAATACCACAAAGATAAGAATCAAGCACACTCTTATCAGAACAGCTCCTACCATAACAAGGAAGTGAAACAAAAAACTTTAACAGATTAACAGAGTTGGAAAGGATATTGTATGTCTTCTAGTCCAATCCACCACCCAAGCAGGAGACCCTACACTATTTCTGACAAATAGCTTGGGAAGGATTCAATGGATGAGAATCCTCAAGGGGAAAACAACTCAAGAAGCTTAGGAAATTTTGAAAAGTGAGATTATAAAAGCCCAGTCTAACAAAATACGAATGCAGAAGAAAAATAAAAGAAACCAGCATGGCTGCATAAAGAACTCTCTGATAAATTGAAAGACAAAAAGGATAAGTATAAAAAAAGGAAAGAGGGGCAAATAACTAAGGCAGATTACCAGCAAATAGCCCGAGCCTGTAAAGATGAAAAGATGAAGTGAGGAAAGATAAAGCTCACAATGAACAGAGGCTTGCAACAAAAGTAAAAAATAAATAAATAAATAAAACAAAACAAAAAAAAGCTTCTTTCAAGAAAAAACAAGAAAAAAGTCAAGGAAACAATTGGTCCATTGCTGGGAGAAAGTGGCAAGGTGACAAGCAACAGGGAGAAAGCAGAACTAATTAACTGTTTTTTTTGCACCTGTCTTTACACAAAGGGAAAAAAACAGTCCGACTTATCAAAAACAGCACCACAAAAAACAGAATAGGAACACAAGTTAAAATAGGGGGGAAATGGTAAGTGAACATTTGTCTACCCTAGACTAACTCAAATCACCAGGACCAGATGGATTACATCCCAAGGTTCTGAAGGAACTGGCAGACGAGATCTCAGAACCACATAAATATGTCTTTCAAAGATCCTGGAGCACTGGGGAACTGCCAGAGGACTGAAAAGAGCTGATGTAGTTCCCATCTTCAAAAAAAAAGGAAAAAAAATAGATCCAGGAAATTACAGACCTATCAGTTTGACCTCAATACCAGGGAAGATTCTGGAAAAGATAAGCAATAAATCAGGGAACACCTAGAAGCAAACAAAGTAATAACCAAAAGTCAACACGGGTTTGTTAAAAACAGAGCATGCCAGACTGGTCTTATTGCATTCTTTGACAAAGTAACAAAACTAGTTGACCAGAGGAATGCTGTCAATATAATTTACTTGGACTTCAGTAAGGCATTTGATAAAGTAGACCATAACCAACATCTTCATCAGTGACTTGGACAAGGGGATAGATGGAGAACTTATCAAATTTGCCGACGACACCAAGCTGGCAGGAATAGCCAACCCTCCAGAACAGAGGTCACCAACCTTTTGGACCTCAGGAACCACCAAACTCATAATTTTAAATCCCACAGACCAGAGACCCTGGGAAAATCCCAAAAAAAGTCTGCAGGAAAATTCCCCACCCTGTTTTCCTACAGATTGATCATTCTTTATTTGGGATTGCAGGATAACGTCTCTAGTTCCATTCTCGGGGGGGGGGGGGGGGGGGGGGGGGGGGGGAAAGAAAGGGGGGGGCTTTTGGCTTCATGCAAGGAAAGCAGCAAAAGCAACAGAAGTCTTTCTCCCAAACTCTACCAAAAATGAGTCTTTGTGACACTTGTGCTGGTGCAGCCTCTTGGAGCAGGTTGCCTTGCAGGGTTCCAAAGACTCATTTCTGGCAGAGTTTGGGGGAGAGAAAGAAAGACTTTTGCTGCTTTCCTTGCGTGCAGCCAAAAGCAGAAGAAGAAAGAAGTGGAAAGAAGCAGCCCGGTGGCCAGGTGAGGTGCTTGGGGTGAGTGGGGCAAGTTCCCCCATCTGCCTTTTCCTCCCTCCTCTCACTACCTCGTGTTGTTCGCAATGCAAGCAATGCAAACCTTGTGTTCCCGTGGGCCATGTGGGTGACACAGCCTTGTGTTCCCGCATAGCCTGGATTAATTGCTTTGTGAGGTGCTTTGGGGTGACATTTCTCTGTGGACCACCAACATTTTGTCACAGACCGCCAGCAGTCCCCAGCGATTAGGGGCCTGGAGGCTAAAACATGAAGACGGTTGCAGGAACTGGGTATGTCTAGCCTAGTGAAAAGAAGGACTAGGGGAGACATGATAGCAATGTTCCAATGTCTCGGGCTGCCACAAAGAAGAGGGAGTCTAGCTATTCTCCAAAGCACCTAAGGGGAGGACAAGAACCAGTCGGTGGAAACTAATTAAGAAGAGAAGCAACTTAGAACTCAGGAGAAATTTCCTGACAGAACAATTAATCAGTGGAACAACTTGCCTCCAGAGGTTGTGAACGCTCCAAGCTGGAAGTTTTTAAAAAGATGTTGGATAACCATTTGTCTGAAGTGGCATAGGGTTTTCTGCCTAGGTAGGCGGTTGGACTAGAAGACCTCTAAGGTCCCTTCCAACTCTGTTATCCTATTCTATTCTAAATGGCAGTCCACTCTTCTTGAAAGCTTCCAGTGATGAAGCTCCCACAACTTTTGAAGGTGAGCTGTTCCATTGGTTGATTGTTCCCACTGTCAGAAAATGTCTCCTGATTTCTAGGTTGAATCTCTTCTTGATCAGTTTCCATCCATTATTCCTTGTCTGACCTTCAGGTGCTTTGGAAAATACCTTGACCCCTTCCTCTCTGTGGCAGGCCCTCAAATATTGGAACACTGCTATCATGTCTCTCCTGATCCTTCTCTTCACTAGAGAACCATGCCGAGTACTTGTAACAGTTCATTGAATGTTTTAGCCTCCAGTCCCCTAATCATCTTGGTTGTTCTTCTCTGCACTTTTTCTGGAGTCTCAACATCTTTTTTATAGTGTGGTGACCAAAACTGGATGCAGTATTCTAGTGTGGTCTTACTAAGGCTTTATAGAATGGTATTAGTACCTCCCTTGATCTTGATTGTATCTCTCTGTTAATGCAATTTAGGATTGCTTTGGCATTTTTGGCTGCGGCTGCACAATGTTGGCTCCTATTTAGCTGGTTGTCCACTAAGATTCCAAGATCCCTCTCACAGTTACTGCTATTGAGCCTGGTTTCACCTAGTCTATATATGTATTTTTGGTTTTTCTTGCCTAAATGAAGGACTTTTCTCTATACTGAATTTCATTTTGTATAGATAACTTGATTTCATACTGTTGCATTTAGTCATTAAAAATCTAGTAGCCTGACCTAGTTTCTTATGTTAACCCTTGTTGCTAAATAGCTGCATATGCAGTTGTCTTCTAAATTGTAGTGCACATGTATTAAATTTTAAATACTTGTATCTTATCCCAAAACCTTTATTCTTCTGGAAGCTTTGGCTCCAGTAAGTCACTATATCAATAAGCATAGGAAGATAATTGTTTAAATCCTCTCTAGTTATTTTGTGAAGTTCATTGGGTACTGTTTTTAATTACTCAGGAACTAACAGGTTGAATTTACTGTGGTTCTCTGTAATTATCACCACCAGGACCTAATTTTGGCATTCTTAAAACCTTTCTTAACAGGCTCAGAACTGCCTTACAAAGTTATATAAACTGGATAAGATGCAGTTTCGTCAGACAATGAGAGATTATGTGAATAAAGATTCATTGAACAACGTGGTGGATTTTTTACATGCTTTGCTAGGATTTTGTATGGAACCAGTTACAGACAGTAAGTATAGATTGTCATCCTTAGTATTAAGCTTTCCTGAAGATGTGTGCCTGAATGTATTAATTTGTTTAGGTGCAATGTGTGTGTTTAATTTTTTCTCTGTTTTAATTGACTGAGACATGGGCACTTTGCCTTCACTCCATTTTTATACTGCCAGGTTCATTTCCACCCCTCACCCCCAATGTGATTTTCCAAAGAAATAAATCCCTCCTCTGGATGGAGAATGCTATTGCAGATTAGGAATTGCTGAGTTCAGGTGTTACACATGTATAGCTTATTGTTTTTCTGAAATTTAATAACGCAGTTTAACTGTTTTATTTTGCATTTTGTAGACAAGGCTGGTTTTGGAAATAACTTTACCACCATGGACAACAAATCTACAGCCCAAAGTATTGAGGGCATTATCGTCAGTGCTATGTTCAAATCTTTGATCACTCGCTGTGCCTCTACTACACATGAGCTCCATAGTCCTGAGAATCTGGTAAGGGCATCTTTCCTGTTCACTAAGTTATGACAAGTTTTTAAGTACTATCTTTTCTATTCCCAATATAAATTGTTGAATTGTGCCACCTTCTTTAAAAAAGGGGCGGAAAGACAAAATATAAATTTTTTAAAATTATTTTTTAAAATTAATAAATGTTGACAGGTGAATTTTGGAAAATGTCATGCAGTTCAGTAGGATACAAGAGAACCAAATTTCCTTTGAATTTGTATCTAGTCATTAATTTGACTTGAAAAAGTCATCACTGTGTTGTTCAAGATGGCAATTCTTTGACCTTTCCTTTCAATATTTTCAGGAAGTTTATATTAAATTCATTGCTGAAATTTATTTCATGGTTTCAAGGCCTGAAACGTAGACTCATTTTCTTAAGAAAACAAAAAAAGAAAGTGTTTGTATGTTGGAAGCCTAACAAACTGTCTCCCCCCTCCCTCCTGCCCCGAAAATGACATCCTGCTGGCTTCAGGGTTTATACTGTGACATCCGACAACTGGTACAGTTTATCAAGGAGGCTCATGGAAATGTTTTCAGAAGAGTAGCTCTTAGTGCTCTTTTGGACAGTGCAGAAAAGTTGATTCCAGGAAGAAAAACAGAAGAAAATACTGAGCAAGAACCCAAACCACCAGGGAGTAAAAAGTATGTATCTGGACTGGAAAAGCCATTAAGACGCTTGAATGATGTACTAAGGTCGGCCTTACCCAGACTTGTCAACCTTGCTTTTGGGAAGAAGATGATTCATGCAAATAAATACTATTTGCTCTCAAAATCTCCCTTCTCCAAAGATGGTTTTATGTTATTCAACAACTATAGATAGCAAAAAAGTGTGCTTTAATTGCATTCAAATGCATGGGATTAAAGCAAAGTTAAGAACTGTGTTCAGGTTACTCAGCTGAAAAGTTGTTCTACAAAATATTATTTTTATGGAACATAGGAGGATAGGATACTGGATTAAGTAGATATCTCAGTCATTTATCTATGAGGAGGGATGATCTGCTTCATGACCAGAGGTGGTATTCAGCAGGTTCTGACCAGTTCTGGAGAACTGGTAGCAGAAATTTTGAGTAGTTTGGAGAACCGGCAAATGCCACCTCTGACTGGAAGTTTTACAGTATCCTTCCCCTGCAACGCCCACCAAGCCACACCCACAGAACTGGTAGTAAAGTTTTTTGAATCCCACCACTGTTCATGACAATATGGCATATGCTGTACTCAGGTTATGGGTCCATATTCTCTGTCATGGCTGCAATTCTGCTTCTAGCTTCACATCGGATCTTGCAAGCTGGACATTTTCAATGGGGACAGAGAGGGGAGTGCTTGGAATGTGAGGGAAGGACGGGGTGGGGTTGGGGAGGGATGAAGCTGTGCCAGCCCTGATGCTGAGTCGCACCAATCCAGCATAAGGTCAGCCAGAAGAAATGCAGAGGTGGTGAAGGGGCCATTTTCAAAACAACCTGAGAACTTCTAATAGGACATTGACTGATAACAGGGGTTGGCCAGGGAAAAAGGGGGAACTTAATTGCATTGTTTTCATACCAAGCCATCAGATTCTGCCTTGTAAAAATCTGTAATCATTTTGTTCTTAGTAAAGTAATACTCTTGGAAAAAAAATAATGTGCCAGGAGTCTTTCTTTGCTAACTAATTCAAGTGAGATGGATGACATTACCATTTTTTTTCTAACAACTGTTTCATACACAACCTTTTCTGATTTACCCATAATTGTATGGAATTAGCCCTAATATATATAGTCGTCAATGAACACTATACAAAAGCCTGATGATGGCAGATGAGATTCTGCCGAAACGTTGCTATAACTTTAAAAGCACAACTACAATGACATGGGAAAATACCCGAACAAAGCTGAATGCCATACATGTAAGTACCCGCGAAAACTTAAGAAAACATATATATATATATATATATATATATATATATATATATATATATAT